TCCCGAATCACGTTTTCCGGAGCCCCGAATCACGAAAATGTGATTCGCATCACGAAACGCGAATCCCGAATCACGTTTTCCGGAGCGCCGAATCACGAAAATGTGATTCGCGAAGGACGAATCACGAAACGCGAATCCCGAATCACGTTTTCCGGAGGCTTCTCCGGATCACCACTGGAAATTTGCATGGTGGACCTAGGATAGCCCATTTTGTACTATAAACCATGTTTGAGTAAAAGGCAAGGCGCTACTGATTTTCAAGCTGTTTTTTTTACAAAATGAATGGTGCACAAAGTGTCGAGTGCTAATTTCTTACAAAATGACTGGTTCCACTAGCAAAAACTAGGAATTAAAAAAGATGTGTTTGCTACAAAATGGTTGGTGTCCCTTACACAATGCCAATCCCGCTTGCTCCTATTCAACTATAATCCAACCGTTTTTGCCATACAGTCTTGCAAAATGGCAATTCCTGCTACCTGGATGATGCCAGTAATGAACACCCAAAATTTCCCTACAAAATGTCCAAAATATATGTCTTACTAAATGGCTACTTAAAATCGATCCCAAGATACCTCGTTTTGTAAGGGAAAATTCAACCATGATACATATATATATATATGAGGGACGGTCAAAACTCCTTATTCTTCTTCAGCTAAAAAATGGACGTCATCGGTTTTGAGGTGGACCTTATCGTTTTACAGCGTTTTGAGTTCGTCGCATACTTATGACCATATACAGCGCTGGGGTTATCGGTTTTGAGGTGGACCTTATCGTTTTGCAGGGTTTTGTGCACAATCCTACCCCTCTTTAATAAAGTGGTCTTCGCATGTTTTGACCGTGGCTCATATATATACACCAGATTTTAGCGGGCATATCAGTCATGGGGGTGGCCCATATGTCAGCTCCGTGGCATAAGACCCAATTTGAAGTACTAGCTCCATCTGGACTTCCTGGCGTGTACGCGATCACAGCGCGATCGCGATCGCACGGGTTCAAGTGACAGGAGCACCACCACCAGCTTGTAGGGCACCAAGGACATGATCTCGTACCACGACCAGTCCGCGTCCAGGTGCTTCTCGTAGTCCTGGCCGGAATGAAACCCGTCGTCCTCATCCTTCGAAGTCCGTCAGCTCGTCGTCTCAAGCAAATGGACGACGGGAGAACGGCGAGAATCCAAATCCGATGATCAAGACACTTGGATCATCTAAGGCTTATCCGATCCGGCTTATCCAATGAGCCACAAAAGCAACTAAGCCATGGGGAACGACAACAATCCCTAACCTCCACGGCAAGCATGAGCAGCATACTTTAAACCATACCGACGTATAAAGATTCATAAAGACAATGTGTCTACCTCGCGATCTGCCGAACAAGCTAGAAGTCTCAAGTTAACATGGATATTCTTTAGAGTTCTGACTCATTCTGACTCGTTCCCTCATGGTTTTGATGAACTCAGTCCATGTGGGTCCTGTAGGCAGTCTTCATCCTTCATGGTCTCCACCTGGTTCGCCTGCCGCGTCCGGTTGACTCTTGACACTCGCAATGGGAGGCCTCTTTTCACTTCATGAATGTTCTTTTTGTTACGAGTCTTCGTCGGATTTCGGGCAAGAAGCCTGGAGCTGCTATATAGTATATGTACTGCATTGTTCTGCGTAATTCAGGATTCCATCATCCACATGACCTTCCCTGTTTGCAACCTTCTCCTTTGAGCAAACAAAGTGTGTCATAATCTTCGTGCAAAGAAAGTCTAGCACGACTTTACATTGGAAAAATGCAATGTGATGACAATCGCCCTGTTGGGCACAACTCGATCTTGGCTTGGAGGGTGAAGCGATATTCCCCAGGGTGGAGCCCTCTGTTTCAGTTGGTTTCGTGCCGTTGACGTCCCGTTGACATCCCTTCGGTGGTTGTCCATGTGATGTGCTCCTTCTTGGAGTTTCAAGGGTCATCAATATAATCATGCAGGTTTGCCGGCTTATCACATGTTGTGTTCTATATTTTGGGAGGATGGTACCACTTGTTGGAGAGCACCACCGCAAACATTTGGCAACAGTGGGATGAGGCCATGTCTCAAGGATCGCGCATGTCTTTGAGCCAGCCCTGCGCCTGATTCTAAGGCAGGACACCGTTCTACTATACCGGCTACTGCGATTTCCTCGTGCTGTGGACCACATCACCAGATCAACATGATTGTTCCTCTGCATAGTATTCGCCAATCGGCCTTGTTTAAAGAGTTTTCAGCTTTCAGGCAAAATCAACCCTCATGACTCATGCCGCATGCCCCAAACGACATGCCCCAGCACCCCAAACACCACTCTTTGGTCACCGTCACTAGTTCGATACTAGTGTGGCCGCAACAAGCCTCGCTCATCCTCTCTCATTTGAGGCATGTCACAAGCCTGTAACGGGCCCATAAGATCCTATCATATGGGTGTGTATCTTAATAGGGCGGTCCCGCAACCAATGGGTAGGGTCTATGTCCTTTCTTCCATAACTTTAACCTCTAATATTTCAATACACACCCATATCCAATAGCAACCAGCGTTCTTCGTGCCTTCGCGGCGTTTTGGAACACCCACGCGTCTCTCCATCCCCGGCCTCGGTGTACCCGTGCAGCTCATAATCCTGCACCATGTCCTCGGCCGAAGCGCTGACCCCGTACAGACCGGAGGGAGGCTGAACGGGGGGCTGTGAAGTAGACGGTGGGCGAACCGAAAACCCCCCTAAGACTCACCTACCACTGACCCTGGATGGTAGGTCAGTCTCTCCAAGCCCGACCCTCCATCACACGCCGCTTCCAAGCAGCCAACAGCGTCTTGGTGGTCTCCGACCTGTGGGGCGGAATGGACCGACTCCCCTCGGCGTGATCGACTCCAAGCTTTCCACCGGGTCGGTCACAGGGGATGAAACGCAACGCCGTCATGGGCCAGAGAAGACGGGTGTGAAGGACAAGGATGGGAGCAAGTGTCTGTTTACAACTTACTCTAGATGGGAGCCAGTCTGGGACTGAGTGTTTTTGCTTTTTTATTCCTCCTGCTTACCACATGTCGATGCATGTGCCAGTATGAACATCTCTCTTTCCTTCGCGTGTCTTTTTCAAAACTTCTTCAAACAGGGGATGAGGACCCCGTATACTCAATCAATCATCTTCAAACCCTTCCAAGTTCACCTTCCTTTGGAAAAACACGTCGGTCATTTTCAACCCTCCTGGGAACATGCTGCCTGCTCCCACGTTTGGGCCCCGCCACCGGACTCTCGAGCGGAACACGAGGTCGTTGTCGGACGAAAAGGTGTGACAAAGGTCGGAGTGGGTGCAGTCCAAAGCACTAACTATGGCCTCCGACCTAGAAGCAGCCTCCGACCTAGAAGCAATGGCCTCCGACCTAGAAGCAGCCTCCGACCTAGAAGCAATGGCCTCTGACCTACTAGCGATGGCCTCCTACTCCTAGCGACGGCCTCCAACCTACGAGCGATGGCCTCCAACCATATGGAAGTGGAAAACCCCGAACCCACCCTTTTTCGACCAACATGGTCTTCCAACAGGCCATGCCATTCACTTCCATGAGTTCCAGGGAGTCTATGCAACCTACGGTCTTCCAGTGTCTGTCCATGTCGGAACCGACCAGGTGCCCGGGCATGAGCTCACTGCACAGGAGCTCATCAATCTGCAAAATGAAGGCCAAGGCCACGGAGTTCACCACCATGTTATCGATTGCGGACGTCTCCTGGTGAAAAAGTCGAGATAAGACTGGCGGGTCACGTGGAGACGGAGATGGATAGGCTCACACGAGTCAATCCAGAATTTGGGGTCGTTGAAGGGCACCCTGGGCACCCTCAAACGCGCCAACACGCAGGGGGGAAGCCCGGTATATGTTTGATAATTTGATTCTTGTGAGGCCATGTGAGGCCTTCTCGGTCACAGCTCACTTCAGGTGACGAGCTTGAGGTCCCGCATCCCCCGAGCGCGCCCCAGCAAAACCGCCGCGAGCGCCCAAAAGCAACGGGTGAAAGCCCCGGTGCTTCCCGACTCGCTCCATTAAGAAGGTGGTGCCCGACTGCGCGGTAAGCCACCAAAGAAGCAGCTTGGGGATGATGATCACGAATAGGTTGATGATCCTTGACGATGCCCGCCGCGTAGGCGGAAAAGGGGGGGTGTAATTTCATCTGCCACTAGTGATACCAGCAAATTCGACATGGCATGGGGCCAAACAAAGGAGAGTAGGCAGTGGGAAGTCCAGTTGAGACATTCGTCACAAGGAAGTTCCTGGATTGCAACATATTCAAAGACAGCTGTAGTGCTTCAACAAGCCAAACAAGATGAAGATGCCTGGATACTTACCTGGATATTCATCCTGTTGCAGCCTTTTTCTACATCTCGTGCCTCCTCTCCCTGTCTTTTCTGCCCAAGGAACTTCCAGTGGAGCGGCATCCCAGCCTCAGCAAAAAGGAAGCTTCCCTTCCTCCAACTAAGCGCAGTCGAACGATCAGAAGAAGACAATTGTATTCCCACAAAGTATTCCACTTCCAGCTTTGCTGATGCCTCCGGCCCAGTCTTGCCCCATGGCAGCACAGGTTTCACATCAAGCCTTATAATCCACAAAAGTATACAAAAGTTGATTCAGGCTCAGGATGTAAACCTTTCCTGTCAGTCAGTGGCATCCTGGAAGCCAGCCAGAAAACAAACAAACATCTGCCAGCACTTGTGGCAGCACCGGGGTCGCATGCCGGGCACCCGTGTCCGCCCTCGCCCTCGTCCGCCGTGTCCGCTGGGCTGGGTCCGTCCCGCCCCATCGGCCAAGTTGCGATCTTCAGTTTGCAAAGGTCCTGAGCTCCGAGGACCAGGCAGGGGGAAGACATCGAGGCCCCGTGCTAAGCACAGGCCCCTACGCCAGTGTCTGCATTTTCTGGTGTAGGGTGCTTGAATTCCCATGTTCCTTTTTTGGTGGTAGCGTTTTATATTTATAGATTAAGATTCCTATAGCCTCCAGATGCAGCTGTTTGGAGATGGCATGTAAACTAAACATGTTTGAAGCCTTCCTGATTCCCGATTCACGTGAATGAATCTAATCTAAAGGTTGTATGTCACGAGAAAATGATTATGTTATCAAAATTTGAAACGCTGCATCACTGTTACCCCCTTATGTTGCATTCATAGCCACACGAAAACATACCTGGACATGGCGGTGGAAAACGGAACAAAGCCTTCTACAAGGCGGAGAAGAAAGATTTGCCTCCCCACGGCGCGGCCAAGCACGACATATGGACCGGACAAGGCCTGGACAAGGACAACGTAGGGCCCGCAGCTAGAACCCCTGGCCACGCGGCCAAAGAATGCCAAAGGATGCCAAAGGATGCCAAAGGACAAAGGACTGGACGACAAAAAGGACAACACTGATACGGCCCCGTGCCTGTGGCCAGACCATTTTTCAGAGGGACGCAGAGCTCACAAGCGTGGCCAAGAGAACTTCGCGAGCGCAGCCAGAAAACAGCAGGACAGCAGGCACACCAGGAGGGCAAGAGGAGGCACAAGTTCGCCAGCCCAGCCAGCTGCAAGACACCACGAGGCCCCGGCCAGAGGACAGCAGGAGGACAACAGCAGGACAACTGAAGGACAAGAAGAGGACAACAGGAGGACAACACACGGACACAAGGCGTCTTAGATCTGCATCTGCCCATTCACATGCT